GGTAAGTTTTTTAAAATCCAATGTGTGGATCACATAATATTTCAAAAATTTTAACTTTTGAGTATAGATGATCCGCAGTGTAGTCCAATAAACATGTTTACTTAGGGAAAAATCAAATTTAGATTACAGGTTTTTACCTCAATTTGGTTAAAAAATTGTGTACATATTTTTTTATTTTGTGTAATAATAATAATAATGAATTAACTATATATGATATTTTACAAAACAATTTCTTTTTGAAGATAAACATAAAGCAACATTACATAAAGTATATGAACAATTTTCACCATCTAAGGCTTTTCCTTCCATTTCTTGCCTCAAATGTTTACAATACTCGAAATCCCGCATAATTAAGGTTGTGGGCGAAACCTCCCTAGTAATTGCTGAAACCACGGCAAAACTGTATTAAATCTTATCAAAAATACTGTTGAAACTATGCCAAAATGGTGAAACCTCAAAATGCGAAACCTGCTGAAACTCTAATAAACAATCAATGAAACCCTGCTGATTGATTTCTGGAGGAGTTTTGGCAAGAACCTTAACTTATGCCATTTAAATTTTGGATCAGTCCATAATAATAATTGTTAAAAAAATCGTACGATACCAAAAAAAGAAATTCGGAAATCCTTTGGTTATTTCGGAAAATTTGTAGATTTTGTACTCCGTGAACAAAGCATAGTATAATTTTAGAGAACTTGCACAATAATGACCATTTTTTATTTTATTTACATATTAAGATACCATTTGAGAACATTTTTTAAATAATACACAACACACCCAGAGTTTTACTGCAAAACTTTTATTAGCTGTGAAATACTAGAATTGGAATTTTGGACCAGATTTGGTCCAAATTTCGTTTAAGGGATAAAACTGGTTAATTATATTAATATATTATTAATATACCTTTTTTTCGGCCATCATCTTTTAAATTTAAAAATATACACAAATCTTGTTTTAGCAAATAGTTTGGGTAAGAAAATTTTTCCGTTATTATTATTATTATAATTAATACAGTCAACCCTTGTCACAGCAGACTATGATTAAATTCTTGTCATTTATATTTTTCAGTTTATTTTTATATATACTATCTATCCCTTTGATACTCTTGCAGGCAAATTTGCACATTACCTCAAGTAAAAAATATTTTTAATTTTAGTTCTGCAATCTAAAATTAGAAAATCTTCTATTTTGTAACGCAAAATGCATCATACCAGGAAAAAAAAATAAAAATTTTCGATTTTGATTTTGATTTGTTTCCCCGCAGTCTTTTAGATCTCGATTACTATTACACAGTATTTATATTTAGAAATCCAGTGCGATGTGGTTGTACTAACTAAATCCGGAAATTAACTACATATAATTTCTAAAATTAGACAAGTTTTATATCGAGGCGCAATAAAAGTTCATTTAATACAAAGTACAAGTATTCTTCTGTACATCCATGGGAAAGATTTCCGCATGAAATAGGTCAGGACTAGATGACTCAAGCTATACTTGATTTGTTATCTTATCATCACTTGATTCCATTATCAATATCATTTTTCAATATCATTGTCAATATCATCATTATCATTGTCAATATCATTGTCAATATAACTGTCATTGTCATTGTCAATCATTGTCATTGCCATTGTCACTATTATTTCATTCTCATTATCATAAAGAACAACTTTCAATGATGATTTTTTTCTTCTCAGAAACATGTTTTTTAAATAGGTTTCTTAAATAGGTTTCCTTTTCGTAAGTAGCAGTGTACTAAAATACAAAGGAACGAATGAGTGTAAACTTGTTAATTTACCGAGTGTAACGTTGGCAAATTTAGGTCGGTCAAGAACAGCTATTTTCAATTAATTGAGTGATTTATTGTGTTTTATTTGTTTTTGAAATTTTTTAAAAAAATGTTTGAAAAAAAAAATAGCAAAGTATTTTTAACATTTATATAATAATATAGTAGATATTGTATAGATGCTTTATATTTAATTCTAATAAAATAAAATAAAAAAGGAAATGAATGTTTGAAAATTTGACAAATGAATGTGTTAAAATAATAATAAATAACCCCAAAATAATTTTTTTTCCAAAAAAATCTACAAAAAAAAAAAAAGTGTATTTATATATTTAAAAAAGAAGATTGTATATAATGTTTTTATATATAATATTGTAAATGAATGTATATATATATATATGTCTATTAATTATAAATACTAATTAATATACATTGATTGACACAAATAAGATTTCTAAATGATTTATTAGAGAATGAATTAGATAGTTGGTTGGTATGTGTATAATTAGGAAAAGGGCGGAGGATTAATTAGTAGAGGGTGAAATGGAAAATTAATTAGGAAGAGGTAATATAGGTAATAGAGGTGAAAAAGTGGTTATAGGTGAAGTTGTTGGATAAATATAAATAGGATGTGGTTGAATTGAATTAATAATAAGGTGTATTTAATAAATGAATGAATGTATATTGTTATTATTTAAAACAATTAATTGTCCATCAAAAATTTATGAAATATATAAAAGAAATCTTGATTTATTATTAACAATAATAATAATAAAATTTGATGAAATAATAATAAAATTACATAAAAAGTACCATTTTTCATATTTTATTAAAAAAAAAAAAACTTGACCTTCTTTTTGAAGATTCTAAAAATTTTGAATTTGATGATCATCACATCATCATATTCCATCGTTCTTTCTCTACAAAATACAAATAGCTACTCACACTCTCACATCATAAACAACTATAATTCTTCCTCTTCTTCTTTTACATCATTATGTTTGATTGCCTTGAACATAAAATCCAAGAATCTTTGACCGTACCAATCTGGATTAACAGCTGATATCATTTTCTATAAAAAAAGCGAGAATTAATTGTTAATTGATAATAATAGCAATAATAGTAGATGAAAATAACGTACCTTGTCATTATTTAAAGCTCTCCAAGCATGCTCGACTTTTTTAACAGTGTTATAGGGAGTTAAAATATCAATAACACCCAAATAATAAATATATTGTGTGGGATTATTTTGTTCATCAGTAGCACGAAATCCGCCATCATCCATATAAAATACACAATTTTTACGTCTACATATACGAGTTATTTTTTGAAGACATGAAAATAAAAATTTGATTAACAACGATAATAATCATGATTACGAAAACAATGATGGCGTTAATTAATTTAATTAACATACTCATTCTTAGCGTCTAAAACTAATTTTGTAGTAGATTGATCTAATTTGACTGGATCAGCCTGTCCCACTAATTTTCTTAACTTGGATGCCTTACTTTCTCTTTTATGAGTCGGTATCGAGTTTTCACTATGAGGCTATTTATTTATTTTTTTAAAAAAAAAGAGCATAAATAAAGAGATTCAATAATTTATGCGCACACGATTTATTTATACATAAGTAATATGTAAATAGTCAACATACTTGAAATACAAAGAAATCTTGACGAATGCTGTCTTTATTTCCACGTGATGTGTAATGTAATCCTATAAGGAGACTATAATCCATAATATTTAAATGTTGAAGCAACTACAAAACAATATCAATTAAAATAATAATATATCATATTATTTATTGTTTATGTTATGATACATCAATATATTAAATAAAATACATACATGAACATCCTTTTGAAGTTGTTCAACAAATAATTTTCTTTTTTCTGGTCCAAGTTCCAAGCGTTTCTCACGATTTAACCAATTCAAATCTTTAAGCACGGATCTTGGATTTTTGGCTGCTTCTATTTCATTAAATTCTCTCCCAACAGTTGACCCCTAAGTATATTGATATGTAGGATGGATGGAGATTAGTATAATTATGATTATAATCGCCGTTATTATTATTATATAATGATTCATAATCATAATCATTAAATGTAATTAACTACCTTTAAATCGTAGGTTTCGTGTATATCTCGGTGAGGTGGGAAAATGTTATTCATCACAACAAAATGAATTTTAGATCCACGGGGTAATTTTATTCGATGTAAACCATAGAAACGGGATAATAGCGTGTCTGGATTATTTCTTATGTGCTAATTAAAATATTTAATAATTAATATTATATTCAAATTTATAGATTAGATAATTATTAATTAAAAAGTAAATTATTCCACCTCATAATAATCTTTTAGGATTTTTCTCAGGAATTTATGTTCAGTGTGGTGTATTGTTTTTATGATGAATCGATAATCTCTGGAGAAATAAAAGAAACTCCCACTTTTTCCTGGTGAATTCAACTCTGATAATATATATTCACTCGTCAGGGAAACCAAATAATCAGCAGCATCTATATGAAAAAATTCACGAAGATGACGAAATACCCAGGGTGCATAATCCTTGAATTTAAAATCATATTTAGCTGATGGTGTAAGCTCATTTCCCGTTCTAAATATGATAACGTTTGGTTAAGGAAAAGAATTAATTGGTATTTATGTAGGTAATGTATTTTAAGCAGAAGATAAAACGTAAGGTTCTTTCTCTCCTTACATATCAAATGAAAATTTATGTGCAGCTTTAAAATCTGATTCATCCAAGTCTCTATGCATTTTAGCATTACATCTTGACACCTAAACAAGAAAATATTTCATATATAATTAATCAATAATTCACCTTCATACACTCAATTAAACCTTGTTTTCGCCCTCAATTAAACAACAATACTTACACCAACACGAATACCAGTCAACATATTATACATAAGAACAAAGTTAACATGTCCAACACCAATTCTAGTACCAATCATCATCTCGTCATTATCCTCAGGTTTATCCGGCCTTTTCATTTTCGATAATCTTCTTTTAACAATCTCTGCTTTTTTTTGAGTTTCCTCATCAAAATTTATCCCTTTCCCCCCCTCCCCAAAGTATTCTTCACTCACTGTACTTCTTCGTTTAGGCATACCTTTTCTATTATTACCACCACTACGTGATTTTGATGAATAATTTTCTATTTGTGATTCTCCATCTGAAAATGCATAATTGAGTTTTTTAGATTTACTTGGAGAAGTAAAAGATCGTTGCGGTAAATTTTGATTTTGATTTTCATTCAAAGCTATCATACTATTTGGTCTTCGTTTTGATGAAGAAGAAGAAGACCCTTTTTGATGAGCACTATTATTTTCCTTCGTTTGTATTATTGTGGTCGTGGTCGTGGTTGTGGTTGTGGTTCTGGTTACATTGTTTATTTCATTACTGCCACTACCAGCGACGACGACTTCATTAGCGCTAGAAGCAACAGCACTTTCTCCAATAACATCAATTTCATCTTCTAAAATGACAAATCTTGATGGACTTGTTATAATATTTGTAGGCGGAAAACTAACAGATTTTTTTTCTTCCAAAATAAGATTATTATGCGTAGGCGAAGAAGATAGCGAAGTAGAGCCAGATTTTTCAGTTGCTGTCATATTTGTTATGTGAACGTTATTAGGATCTGACTGAGATCTTATAGGAAGTTTATATGAATTATGGTCCTTTGAAAAAATACTATCTGTGGTGGTTGTGGTCGTAATATTAGAAGTAATTAATGGTTCTACAGCGTTGTTAGGGGTATAAAGTCGCCTTTCTCCTGATAAAATTTTTATTACGAGACAATAATATTTTAGAGAAAGTATTAATTATTATTATTAGAAATAAGAATAATTATATATTTATTTACACAAATAAAAGAAATATAAAACACAACGCAAACCTAAATTCAAATGTTTTGAAGGAGAGTTTTCGCTCATGTTGGAAGTATTGGAAGCCACAATCATGGTTTATTTAATAAAACAAAATAAGAAAAATAAAATATTTATATATGAAGAAGATAAATAGAAAATGGAAAAAAAAAAATAATATAATTTATAATTTAAATATATAGTGGGATAAACTTTTTTTTTTTAAATTTCTTTGTAGGTTTCAAAAACAATAAATGAGAATTTTATTTTATATTTTTTCAAATTTAAAGGTTTTTTTTCATTTTTATTGTCACCAATTAAAATTCACCAATCAATATAATATTAATAACAAAAGTGTTGTTTATTTCTGTACGGAGTCGGAGTTTGATGTATTTATGTCGCACGAATCGATTGATTTGATAGTATTAAAAGCTTGTAGGGTAAATTTCTAATTATTTAATTTCTATATATGTTAATACATCTTACAATTAATAGTTTTTTTAATCAAAGACTATATTTATTATTATTATTATTATTATTATTATTATTATTTTAGAAATGATAAATTTTGGTAAAATGATAACAAATGATTTGCTAATTTATTGAAAAAGTGAACAATGAAAATTATGTATGACTCCTAAAACTATAAAATATTTCAATTAATAATTCTAGTTCATACAATCAAGAACATAGAACTAGAATTATATAAACTTTGTGATTATAATTGAGAGTCAAACATTGATGAAAATTATAAGCAAAGCATACTATGTTCAATATAATTAATCACGAAGAAAATTAAAAATCTCTTTTGGGTGACCCTGATTTTAGTGAAGATTTATTAATAGGCAAAAAATTTACATGGAATAGTTTTAGCATTCACAAGTGCATTAACTTTTTTAAAATTTATTATGAAAATTTTTTTAAAAAACCCGGTTTTATTTGACAGAATAAGAATGAATTGAGGAACATAAATAAGGAAGTTTTTTGGGCCTGGTCGCGTTAATATACTTAATTAAAGGACATATTAATTCATTGTTATCAAAACTTTATTAATATACGTAATATTTTTTACCGGTTCCATTTTGGGATATAAGATTTTTATAAACATAATCAACAATACCAACATTTGCAATTCAACCTATTACTATCACTATTACCAAAACCCTTCCACATATTATTTCTTAATTAAAATCCAAATATATTTGAACAATAATAAATATCCCACCAGGGGATTAATTCATCATATTAATGATTAATTTATTTATTTCTTCGTGCTTTTAGACACTTTATGCTTGTGGATTGCTTTACAATATGTAATGTAAAAATCATTTATTAATACAGTAAAAAAATTTACAAAAAACGCTATTATAACTCAATGAATTATTTATTATAAAAAAAAATATCCAAGTTAACAAAACCTTGGTTAAACAGCAACAATAAATTACTTGAATATTTCAACGTTGTGTAGAAAGTGTTGCTGTGCCGAAGGTCAAGTGGGTACCATACTGAAGAAAAGGAAATAAGTGACCACTCAGCAAGTGCATAATGGCTTTTTAGTATAGCACTCACCTTATAATATATATATAGTAGCATACGGGGGTGTTTGGAATATTAATTGCATTTTCTATCCTTATTAGTTATTGATATTCCTAATCTAAACATCTTCATGATATATGAGGGGGTCTACATCATTCGTATTTTAGAAATAAAATTAGAAGTGCTGATTTTTTCTATAATGTTAATTGATTTTTTTAGTTCTCCAAAACCATTAGAAGCCAACAAGAGAGGTTGAAAGAAGACTATCCAAAAGTAACAAAATCTGTATTTGATGTAATAACACGTTGAGTAGTACATTTAAAACATGGGTAAGATTATTAGTTAAAAAATGCGATAATTCTTTTAATGTTCCATACATTAAAAATTTTTTTATTAAATGGGAGAATTTGTTAACATATTAAGTCACTTTAATACAATCATCACACCATTGAGCAGTTTTATCATTAATATTTCCATTAATATCTTATTTGAGAAAATGCTTTCAAATATATTAAATGATGATGATAGTGATAATGACAGTAACTACAATTGATCTTTAAACGAGGCAAAAAACCAAGAATATCTAACATTACATTCAATTGGAGCAAATGATCAAGGAGAAGTGCAAATTTTTGAATATCTCAAGGTCCGTAAATACTATTGAAATTATTTCAGCTTTGTATAATTCAATAAAACATTACTGGTCGGATCATCCATTTTAGCAATGCTTGCATCAGCATTAGACACAAGATTCCAACATTTGGAATTTGTTGATAATCGAGTACATTTAGAATCATTAAACATTTTAAAAGAACAGTATGGAATGATCAACAAATATGATCTACTGGCTCATACTTTCATTAGGAAATAATTCTGGAATATTTGATGATTTATTTAATGATTTATTGCAGTGCGAAGAAGAGGTATAAGGCAAGTATGAAAATTTTTTTTCTTTATCAACTGCAAACCGGCCAACAGATTCATTTGTTTGGTGGAAAATCAAGTTTTCCATCAGTCAAAGAATATTTATGCATAATTGCGACATCTGTACCATCCATGGTTGCTTGCCGAAACTCCTCCAGGAATCAATTGGCAAAGTTTCAGCAGGTTATACATCAATTGTTTGTTAGGGTTTTCAGCAGAGTCTTGCATTTGGGATTTTTGACAATTGACAGAATTTCAGCAAGGTACACTCTAATTATTTATCAGAGTTTTGGAAGTCATTAAGTGGCTTTGGCAAGCAACCTTAGTACCATCAGAATTGGTGGTTGTATTTGTCGAATGATATTCACCGATTATTCACTGATTATCCAGTACACACTCTCTATAACGACCCTTCCTGTAACGACCCTTGCTCTATAACAACTGAGATTTAAGTCCGATTTTTTACTATTTAAAAGTCTCTGTCTCTAATGAATTTATTAATTAAATTTTCTATACTGTATAACAACGAACCGTCAAAAAATCATATATCACATGACATTGATCCTCTATTTATTTTTTCTTAATTTAGTAACTTTACGTTTAAATACGTATTTACATTAGTAATTTATGTTTTAATATTAATATTTGGTAATTTATGTTTTAATATTAATATTTAATATTTTATGTTTTTAATAATGAACTTTGATTTAGGAATATAATATTAATATTTAATATTGAAAAAATTCGGTTATATTTTTGTATATATTATTTATTTTAATAAAATAAAGTTTTACCCACGTGGTTAACTTTTTCCCAAAAGTTCGTTATATAGAGACTGTACATCAACTTTATTTAGTAGAAATTAACGTAGTCGCATTTAAAGTAATATATTGAAATTAAATTGCTAAATCGCAATTAGAGTGTTAGATCACAATGAAATTGCTACTGATTAATTTTAATTGTATATAATAATAAGAAGCTCGAGTTTGAGATATTGTACTTGTAAAAAAACTTTGCAAAATGTTTAATAAATTTTGTAAGTGAATATTAACTTGGATAAATTAGTTTCGATTAAATAAACATTTTCTAAATCACTAAACAAAATTGTTCGCTAATAAAACTAGTTCGCTAGTGATGGCCCATTCATTCTGATCCACATAATCATAAATTTGCATTTGTTGTCATCAATTAATATGTTCTCCCAAATAATAATTGGTGACAATATGATCCAATCCGGAAAGATTTGTTATTATTATTATTATGCAGCCATTAATCAATAGAAATATTATTGGGATGTTTTTTTTTGATAATTAAAATTTCTTTTATTTTTTTGGAACCTAAGTTGCAAATTGATATAATTAAATTTAAAATGGTACCCACAAAAAAAAAAAAAAAATCAATAGATTATATAAATAAAGAAAGATTGGACTCTTAATTAGCACAAAAGAATTTTAAATTGCACACAAACCTAAATAAGATTACAGCCAGATGCTTGATTGACATAATGGTGCAATTGGCATCGTCTTGGATTCAATGCAATTGCTCTGGTGACTTTTTATTTTAATTTTCAAATATATTAAAATATATATATCTTATCAAATAAAAAATAAAATATACAAACACGACCTTTTTATTGGGTGACGAAAGTATTTTGGAATATAAAAAGTATTTCGTCAAATGGGGCACTTGTGAAGAAAAGTGACGAAAAGTAACAAAGAGTAAAGTCAAAAGTCAAATTGTAATAAAGGTGACGAAAATATAAAATTCAATTTTATTTAGATTTAATTAAAACAAAAATTTAATTCTAAACATTTTTTTACATGTTTCTTGGTTGGATAATTAATTTTTGTACGCAAAATTTTAGTAGGAATTGCTACTTCACATTTATTGCTGTGCTGGTTTCATAACTTTCTTCAAGATCTGTAGAATCATCTGATAATTCTGATTGTTGAAATGATTCTTCTTCATTTACTATTTTAATGGAGTGTAACAATACATCAAACGCAGGGCGTCCTGTAGCTAATTCTTGATTATTGTTAAATGAACTTTCAGGTATATTATCTAATTTATATGATGATGATTGAGAAGGAATTGGTGAATTAGGTGAATTAGAATTTGACATCATGAATTTTATTTACTCCATACAAAATAAATGGTTTATTTTATTGTTTTGTTGATTTCATCAGTTCCGTCACTTTTGTCACTTTTGTCAATTACTCAAAGTGTAAAAACTCTATTTCGTCACACAACCTTGATTACTATTTAATCTTTTTATTGAACATGAATGCCTCCATATACTACACAGTGAGTCTCGGTATAGCGGATTTGGTGTTTAGCGGATAAATTTTCAAAAATCAAAATTTTCTATAATTATTTTATCATAATAATAATAATAAAGAAAAAATAGCAGTAGTAACAATTTAAGTTCTAACACTACAATAAAACTACACTGTTTTCTGCTTGGTTCTACTTTAATAAAAATAGATATATTCGTGTGAGTTTTACTGTCTTTTGAAGATTTTTTTATCAATAACCTACAAAAAGAATATGTTTTTTGAGTTTATCTTGTCATATAGTCGATCACTCTACTCTTGGCGGATGTTGCTATTTATTTATTATTAACTATTTGCTATTAGCTTACTATTAAAAGGTTTTTGATTATAACTTTTTAATTCTTTTGATTTAACAATGTCACCTCATCAAATCTTGAATTGCTTGTAGTTAAATTGTAATTCATTACCTGTACGTTATGAATAATAATCAGCAAATCTAAAGGCAGATCTTATTATAGATAAGTTAAATGAAAATAGTAGCAGGGACAGACAATTTCCCGAAGGATCATTTTCACATTAATATTGGGAAATGAATGATAATCAATTAATTGCTTATAGTAACAATTGGCCAGCTTCAAAATACTAAAAAAAAAAAAATTTATATCATTTTAAAAAAGTTAACCGATAAGTTTTATTGTCCATGACTCGAGCTTCAAAACTTATCGACTAGTTTTTTCTTAAACTAAAAATTGGCAGAGCCTTAGCATTTTGAAAGTTCAAAATTTTGTGAAATTAAGTAACAAAGTGATTTTCATAGAAATATTAACAATCACGTCATGTTAAAATTTCAGTATTTTTTTTTTTAACGACGTGCCATTTTATTGATAAAAAAAATTTTTTAAATTATTTACAATGCGCAATTCCCATTTTACCATAAAATGGTATTTGCAGTGTTTTACAGGTATTTACAAGTGTTTACAGGTGTTTGCAAGTGTTTACGGGTATTTGCAGAATTATAGATAGATTACATATTACAGATTTTCTGACAACTGCATATTCGAAAGTTGTCATAATCCGGATACTCATGAGCACTCATGACGAATACTTAATATAGTATTATCGGCTTGAGAATTTTTTTTGAAAAATAACAAACAAGTCTCATTTCAACAAATCTATGGGACACTCATTATTATCATCAATTAATTATACAAATAAAAAGATCACATTATAATATAAATGGCGTTAGATGTAGATTAGCTATTTATGTATTTAATAAACTTCTAAAAAAGATCACCTTATAAATACAAAAGGCGTTTGATGCAAGATTGGCTATTTATGTATGCATTTATTTTATCTAATAAATTTGGTATAAATATAATTCAAAAAAGTTAAGTTATATCTTGTCTTCTGTTAATAATGGCAGTAAAAAATAAAGCAGTAATTTTATTGGTTCTTATTGCTATCTTTTTTATACCAACGTCGTTATCAATTAGTTGTCTTGCTTGTTATCGATGCCCTACTACGATGTTTGACTGTAAAATATTTTAATTCTATCATGATACTTTTTTTCAATAAATTTATTTTATTAATCTAAATAATATTAGGTTCCTGTAATGACGAGGGAGGGTACGGAAATTATCATTGTCAGGATTGTACATGTGCTCAAGGAGCTTATAAAGGTCATCGCAAATGTTATGATGGTACTACAACTAATAATATCTGGATAGGTTTAAACTGTCAATGTAGTAATTGTGAAAAAAGTTATTGAATATATTTTTTATTTTTAAAAGATTGTCATTATGTATTTATTGAATTTATTTACAAATATTTCTTGGTCGTTTAATCAAATAAAATACCAAAAAAAACAATATGCGGAGCATAAAGGCATTCATGAAATGATGCTACTCTGTATATATGCGTTATATGTTACATTTTTATTACCTATTTACAATCATGCTCCCACTACTATGTTTTTATCCGGAAATTTAAGCGCATTATTCCAATGCGAAGCATTGAGATTTTAACTCCTGAATAAGGTTCGAATTTTCAGAATACGCTTTTAATATATACCTCATCGAGTGGAATCTCGGGTCTTTGATTTTATTGCAATGCAAATATACACTCGGTGGACAAAAGTTTGCATCCAAAATTTCTTTTGAATTTATTTCAACAACCATACTAATTAAAAGGTTGTAATCTTTATATCATTCGAAAGCTCTTATCCTTGATAATACGTTCATGATATCAAACCTTGAAGTTTTATAAAGATAAAAAATAAAAAATAAAAAACAATGTAAAAATAGTGAAGAATTGAAAATTGCATTGCAAACAATGGTTAGACAATTAGAGAATAAGCTTTTTTTTATCTATCAACATTTTCACTATTTTTACATAGTTTTTTATATCTTATTTTTTCTTACCTTTTTTTATTACAAAACTTCAAGATTTGATATCATGAACGTATTATCAAGAAGAGGGATTTTCGAATGATATAAAGATTACAACCTTTTAATTAATGTGATTGTTGAAATAAATTCAAAAGAAATTTTGGATGCAAACTTTTGTCCACCGAGTGTAATAATGTTTATTGCCTTAATTATCTAGCCGTCTAAACACATATGATCTTCTTTACATAATAGGCAATGTAAACCGAGAACATTATAGGCATCAATCTGATGCTCGCCTTCCTTATCTATGCTAAAATATAGGTCTAATTTTGGATAATTAGTGAAATGTGTAGCTAACTTGTTAATGACCTAATTACGTTCTGCTTTTTATAGCATCCTCTCGAATGGGAGGAGCTTCGGAGGGCCTTAGAGACTTGAGAACTGGTTAATACATCTACCTTGGCCAGAATGCTCACCTCAGTTTTCGGTAAATCATTTGAACAGATGTTTCGGTCACATGCGTTCTGTATCGGAACGCTTATCACTTAACAAGAAAAAAAAATTGAATGTATTGATATCATATGATACTATATATCAAATATGTCACAAATCTAGAAACGATAGACGGAAATCTCAAGGCAAGTTCACCATAATAAATTCGATTTACCGGAGTCCTCTGCCCACATATAACCTATGGGTGATTTTCCCAAATATGCGTATTATTTTAGAAAATAATCGGCACTGGGATCATCTATATATAATCAATTAATTGCTTATAGTAACAACTGGTCAGTTTCAAAATACTAAAACAAAAAATTTTTATATCATTTTAAAAAAGTTAACCGATAAGTTTTATTGTTCATGACTCAAGCTTCAAAACTTATCGGTTAGTTTTTTCTTAAACTAAAAATTGCATTTTGAAAATTCCCACATTTTTGTTATACTCTTAGAAATTGATTTCGTGTAACAACTTTTTTTTCGTATTACATATCAGTTATTGTCAATTAAAAGTTTTACATCAAAAGAAAATCATTACCAAATTTGTTCATGAAATTCAAAACATTGTAACACGAAAACTATTATTGCATTTTTGAGCATAACTTAAATTTTAACGAAAAAAAAAATCGATAAATTTTTTTTTACATGAATTGACTCCTTTTTTAAAGCTGAAATTGAATGATTGTGGTATTTTAAAATCCAACATGTGAATTACAAATTTTTTTAGTATAAATGATCCGCACTATACTACTAATGTTAATTCTTTATTTGGCAATTCAATATTGTAACACTTTTAAATTTTGTATAAATAATTGGTTATGGAATGATTATTAATATTAAATAATAATAAATATTTATTTCGCAAAATGAAAATAATCAATTGGAATTATATTTTAGTACGTAACCTCCAAGTCTCCAGCAAACAGATCACTATTTCATTCTTCCACCCGTCAATCATATATGTGTTGTTTCATGAAGCCGATAGAAATTAGGCCTATAGATTGGTTGCTTAAACTATTCTCAAAAAAAAAAAAAATAGTTTCGGCAAAAATAGTCAACTATTTAATTTTGGAGACGATCATTTATTATTGTAGGATTGAATGTTAAATTTCATCGTACTAAATATTTCCAATTAAGGAGATTTCTTTATAGACCAATAAGAGCCTTTGTGCGTACTCAATATTGTATGCGGAGGTCTGATTTAAAGTTAAAGTATTAAGCTTTACCTAAACCAATTGAAGCCTCCCAAATACAAAAATTATGTAATCGGCCAAATTTATTATATAATCTCGCGAAAATTTATAATATTAGATAATTGTTTAAAAAATTAAACACTACATTATTTGTAATTAAATAATTAAATGGAAGAAAATTTTAAATCCCAAATTTCTGATAAATACTTGTCCTTTCTTGCGATGAAAAAATCCTTTCTCTTTAACTTTCTTTAAAATTATATGCAAATAAAAACTCTAATTAAGATAAATAAATATAATAATGTCTGTAAATTCCGATGAAAGCGATGATAAAACAATTGTTACGAGAGAAAAAAATAATCTAAACAAAGATCCTTCACTTACTTCCTTGGAAGATCAGAAAATTGATCGTTCAATTGAAAAACAATTGTTACGGAAACTTGACATGAGGATTATACGTAAACATATTTTCTCTTTGATTGATTTCTTATTCAATAAACCACACACCAATCTTAATCTTAATCCTAATCTCGATTATGATCCTAATTATTTACAGCTTTATTCACATTGTCATATTTCTTTAATAATTTGGAAAAATCTAATATCGGTAATGCCAAAATCGCAGGTTTAACTGCCAACAGTGGTATCAGTGAACCGGATTATAATAATGCTTTATCATTATTCTATATTGGAGCTATACTATTCGACATGCCTTCAGGCTTTTTGAATAAAAAAATAGGAATTAATATTTGGTATCCAATAATATTGGTTGGCTGTGCTTCATGTTCTTTATTACAAGCATTCGTTGCCAACGCTAGCCAACTTCAAGCTCTAAGATTTCTTCTGGGTGTTTTTGAAAGCGCTGCAGGGCCTATTCAATTTTATTATTATACAGTTTGGTATACTCCTAATGAAATTAGTGTAAGAGCTGCTATTGCTTTTAGTTTCTCAATGACTGCAGGTGCTTTCGGTAGCCTTACAGTAAGTAATTATATTATATAATATAATATAATATATATATATATACACACACACACACATATAAATATATTTAATCATTATTATTAGGCTTATGCTATTGTGAATAACATGGATGGATTAAATGGTTTACATGGATGGCAATGGATATTTATTATAGAAGCATTGCCTCCATTTATCTTGGCAGCAATATTTTATTTTGTCATCCCTAAAGATCAAAATCATGCGAAATTTCTAACAAAAGACGAAGTTTCCCTCGCTTATGAAAGACTACAAATTCGGGTTACACCAAAGAAATTACCAAATGATGTAATAAAGAAACAAATATTCAGTGTTTTCACCGATTTTAAGATGTACCTATTTGCGATTGGTACACTCGCTAATTCGGTGCTTTTAAATTCAGTTCTGCTTTTTACTCCAACAATTATAAAAGAAATGGGGTTTGATTCAATCAGAGCTCAAGCACTTTCAGCTCCACCGTTTATTGTTGGTAGCATTGTCTTGTCTTTTAATGCTTGGCTTAGTAATCGAAATAATGAACGTGTATTTCATATTGCGATACCAGATTTAATTGCAGCTGTAGGTCTCATTGTAACAATTTCAATTGCCCCTACCAAAGAAAACATTGTGATAAGATATGTAGCCGCATGTATCACGATTGCCGCCTTAATTTCTTATCTTGCAGTTTTTGCTTCTTGGATGACATCTAATATTGGTAATTGTTATTCATATAGTAGTTTATTATTGTTTTTGCCATTATTATTAATTGATTTGTTTTTTTTTTCCAAAAAAAGTCGGACAATATAAAAGGGCAGTTGGAATGGCATTTATCGGAACAATAGGGGAAACCGGTGGAATCATAGCAGGTCAAGTTTATAGAGCAGATAACATTTCACGTGGTCACGTCATAATATTTTCATTCCTTTGTCTTCATCTGACTATTGTCTTGTCAGCAAAATTCATATTTACCAGGCTCAATAAGAAAAAAGATTTACTCCAAAAAAATAGTGATAATAAGGATGTAAAGTTTGAAGAGAAATATAACGAAGAATTGTTTGATCATCATCCAAACTGGAGATATCTCACCTAAGAACATTTTTTATTATTATTTCAACATAATATTTTATATTCTAATAAAAATCTTGGTAAACTATTTCCACATTAATTATATTAATGCTTGTGTAAATATTGATAAAAAAACCATATATATTACTATTGATGGTTGTTGATGAATCAAATGAAATTCTTTCTAATTAATTTCCATTGTTTAACGCCTTCTTCGGGATAATGATCTTATCTGGGTTGCCTGAGCTATCCATATTAGTAAACCAAATAATTTCTTCAATTCTATTAGCAGTTTGAACGTTTCTTGTGATCAACATTTATGCATACGTGGCCAATTCAATATAAAATTTAGGAGTGTTATTGAAAATCCAGGTCTTAATCGTTGCGAGACCTAGGGGTGTTTGAATTATTTCATGATAAATTGTATAGTTCTTCGAGACTTATAAAGAGGTGATGCAATTATATGTTATGCCAATAATAATATCAGATGTGTTGAATAATCATTATAAACATTGTAATGGGTATGTACACAGCGAGTCTCAGTATAACGGATATGTTTGTTTCAGGAAATTTATCCGCTAATTATAATACTAATATAAACAGAGATATCCGTAAAAAAATCAAATTTTTATTAAATCATGTTACGTTAAAAAATAAATTTGAGTTAAATAATAATAAAAATATACAGTTGGTAAAAATTAAAAAAAAAACAATTCATTCATTTAGAACGTTGACATTATAATAATCTTCCATTCTTGTTTGCACTTGTTCTTGAAAATTTTTGTAAAGAAATTTCACTTTTTAATCTTTTGGCATTTCTAATTACTTGAAAATCAGTGTCTAAATTTTTTTGCTGTACACATTTAAGTGCAGTTTCCAGAGCTTTTATAGCTTCTATATTAGTGATCATTGGCTCAGGTTCATTTGTTTCATCATTGTCATCACCAACTTTCACTTTGACCTTTTACAATATTTACGATTTCTTGTGTTGACATTTCTTCTTAACAAGAAGATTTTGGTCGATCGTAACATATTCATTGGCATCTAAACAATCTTGAAAGAGAAGTTGAGTGATCAAACTGTCTATTTCATTTACTTATAACATTCCGTTTACAGTTGGAGTGAACCTATTATATAGTGAATCGTACTATATAATGAAGTTAGAAAAATTCCAATTTCATTATATCCACTTCAAAAAAGGAAATCCTTGTTTCACTAAATTCGACGCGTATTATTATTATCATAAAAATTTTTACTAATTGAATAAATGGGGGGGGTTAATTGAAAAAATGTCCAAAATTTCTCAACGGAAACAGTGATACAGTCAGACCTCCATAAGTGCACCCCTCTTGGGACCGAGGGACAGCGTGCATTTATGGAGGGCATGCATTTATAGAGAGAAGCAATTTCATTGGTTGTACGTGTTACACGAATTTTTTAATTATATAGTATTAAATAAAATAAAACTATCCATTGTAACTTGTTTCGATGAATTTACTTTTTTTACATTGATATATCAATTTTATTAACCAATTTTATTTGTTCGCTAGCATTTTTTTGCTGTAATAAAAATGCATGTACAGTTTCAAGACTTTTTAATGCTTCCTTATGGCTTATTGTTGGTTGTTCATTGCTATCATCATCTTCATCAAAATCATCAGCAGATACATTCATATTATTTTTATATATTTCTGCAAGTTCTTCAATAATTTTATTGTCCTCTGGAACCTCATAGACAATATTTGATAAAGGATTGATTAATTTTATTTAAATTTATGTACAAATATTTCCGTTGAAAATTACAAAGCTATAATTAATAAATAATTTCATTGTAAAAATACAAAGCAATAAATAAAAATATATAATTTAATATAAATTACAAAAATTGTAAAATAACAAAAATTTTTGAACCTTTATTTGTTATAAAATTATGAGATGAGAATAAAAATTGTTATATTTTGGAAATTATCCAATTAAATCAAAAATTTATGTTGATGATTTCTAAATTTATCCTAGCTACACGATAAATTTTATATATTGGTCACGTGGGTACATTTATGGAGAGAGTTTTCATATGAGCGGACCGAAAAAATACCGCGCAGTGCAGAGTATAGAGGGTGTACATTTATCACTAAGTCCTGAGATCGGGACCGAGACATAGTGTGCATTTATGGAGGGTGCACTTATGGAGGTCTGACTGTATTAAAAAAAATTATAATCTATAAAAAAAATGTTTCATTGATTTAACCAGAACAATCAAATATAAACTACTTTTTCACACACTATTTAAATATAGCAAGAGAAACCAATTAATTGAAGGAATTGAGATCATGTAGTAAAGATGCAAAAGGAAAATTAATTTTTTATTTATAATATATATATATATATATACATATGCATTATTTGTTCTAATAATAATAAAAATACTAATTGTTTTTTTACACACGAGTAAT